AATAATATTGTAATAATAATAAATGGTTTTGTATTTTTTAATCTCAGTTTGTTTCTTTCATTCATCCATGTTCCTGATCCTTTACAGCGATTCTATATTATTCTTGATTCTATTATATATTACAATTATTTTCTAATCAGTAATATTTTATACACATGTACAGTCATAAAAGATCCCTTCTGTACAAAAATAGAAGAGACACGAGCCGCATATTCCAGTCCCCCCATCACTATTTTGTGCGTGCGTGCGTGCGTGCGTGCGTGCGTGCGTTGACTTTCTCGACGATACCAACCAACTGATCGAATGCTAATTCAATGCATTTATCTAAGTTGAACATAAACAATACTGTTGATTCAGTCATCATTAAACGTACGTCGGATGATTCCATGCATACAATTTTAGCATTTTCAATCGTACTGAATCGCACAGTCAGTGATCCAACGCTAATAGAATTGCTCTTGTGATGATTCCGAAGACAGTTTTGAATGTTCCAACGTTGTTCATAGAGTCCTTTCCATGTTTCAATAGATAGTATTAATTCGTTTCCACGATTATCTCCTATCGCAATCTCCACATAGCTCGGTGGGCCAACGTTGATACCAATTTCTAAAAATTTGTATCCCGTACGTGTCAATGCGTATTTCTTGCCTAATATACGAACTGCACGATGCACGGGCGCGCTATGGAAAAATATAAAAGAAACATTACATAATTAATTAAATAGTTAATTTGAAAACAGTATAAAAATGGGCGATTCTTAAACTTACTTGGCACATCTTTTCGCAAATGAAGAAGTTTTATCAATATTCTGAAGTGGAACGTAATAATTTTTTCGTGCGTTGCTTCCTACAGCGGAGTACATTGCTGCTGCTGCTGCTGTTGAACTTTTTCGTAAAAGCGGCTAAAGTAATACTGAACGTATAAAGATTGCGTACAGCTCTTAAACCGATTGCGTACCACAAACAAATTGTGAGGGAAGGGATAGTTTTTTGCAGGAAAGTAGAATAGATAGGCGGGTTCTAAATAACTATGTTTTATAATACGTATATGCGATGAGTGGGAGATGTCACACACGGTCCGAGGGAGGGGCGCGTCACCGGAGT